CCCCAAAACCCCAAAACCCCAACAGCAAAAGTACAGATATTCTAATTGTGTTAACTTACAAATAAAAAAGGAGTTATTAAAATACTCAGGACTCAGAATCTTTCAATTATACAACTAATAACATGTTTATTTAATTGTAGCTCAGGGCTTTCTACTGCTCATTTTATGATGATTTCTTGGACTGTGCAACTAGGATGATGTTACAATTTGCTAGCCATAAGGCCCAATCACTTGCATTTTACAATTTTTGTAGTTTTATTATTACTAAGTTGGAGGTATCCCCTTAAATGATCCATTGACTGGGGTAGGGTTTTGCTTCGTCTTTATTCTTCCATCTATAGTCTGAGAGAAGTCTTAATCTTTTGTTGTCTTGATAACTATTGTTGAGGCTGAGGTAGGATTTACCGAAGGTTTTCTTCTCAGTATTTGACCTTATTTAACAATTCTTTCATGAAGAGGAGATTATCTTCTTTTTTCTTAAGTGTTTGAAGAGCTTTAAGTTAGCTTATGATTTCTTTATATACTAGAATTAGAGCCTCTGTCTTTTTAAGACTACAGCTGTTTGCTTTTGCCTTAGTAATAATGTTAAGTAGCACTTGCCGAACCATTTTTGCTAGTCATCACAATATAGTTGCTCTATTTTTACTGGCTCTTATTGTGACCTAGCTAAGTGCTTGATCCTTGATAATTACTCATATCACTAAACTCTTAACTCATCATATGATTTGGATTTTTGTTATGACTTTAGCATGGTATATAGTTAATAGTTTCCCTTCTCTTTTTCGCTACAGTTTATGAGTTCTTATCAGCAATCTTACTATCATAGTTTGATTGCACATTAATATTTAGCTCTTGATGACTTGAGAGGTTAAATTGTTTTACCATAAGAATAGAGTCCTCATGCTTATTCTATTTAAATAACTAAGATTCATCATCATATTGATAAATCAAGGCTTTTTATTTTACATTAGGGGAATCTTATTCAACGTTTCTTAGAAATTTTGAGAAGTTAAGTGAACATTAGATGAACCTTGAACCTTGGTAGTTTGCCTTCTATAGATTATTCAGATTATCATACAAACTTTAGTTCTTCTGTTTTCTAGGTACCTTTTTACCAGAGTTCTTAGTGGTGCTAGCTTAGTTAACATAGATATTCTCAAGGCTTCTATTTTGAGTGGTGAATGATGAATTATTCTACTGGGAATTCCTTGACTAGGCAGATTTTGACTTTTCAGTATTCGATTAGTTGACTAGCTTTATATTTGAACTAAACTCACTCAAGCAATTTATCAATGATTAAAGTTTACCACCTTCATTAATAGGTGTTCTATGCGAATCTAAACATTCTTTCTAAATTCTGGTGGGACTTAAGTCATTAAGTATCTCATTTTCAGTATTATCATTATCATCAGATTCCTCCTATTCTTCATTAGTCACAATATGTTATATTTCTGGTATTTAGATTTTTTCTTTTTTTAATGTGATAGTAAATGCTGGAGGCATGCACTATACTCCCATTTTTTAGCTTTAGATACTGATTGTTGGACTCATTTTTTTCTCTTGCCTGGGAGTAATTGTCATTTCTTTGAAGGGCTTTAAATCAAATGGATTGTCTAGTGGATTTCGAATTTAAAAATTAGGTACAGATGCATTGATAATTTTGTTAAGATCTCCAAGCATATGAGTTTTTATATCCACCAGAATTGGGTTGTAACCATCTGGAACTCTACTATATATAATCACTGCTGGTTTTATTCCAGCGAACGAACCATTTCCAATTTTTGGTTGATTTAAAATTATAGCACAAGGATTTCCATCTTTCTCAAAGCCATCTATAGTCATGAAGCTATCTGCATAAAAATGGTTAAGATGGAATTGATCCAATTATTCACTCCTCTCTGGCAATTTAAGTTCCTACAGAGATATCTATGGTTCATTGATCTCCATATACAAAATGATTATTTTGACATGATTGAGGTATTAGTTCAGACTGCTTAAGTTGTCCTCAATTGAGCACTCGATTTATTCTAATTAATCCTCAGAAAAGTAACCTAGCTTTAACTATTTCAGGAAATTATCTCTAATTTTATCAATTAGTGATTAATCTCTGAATATTTCTTTATAATTGTTTTTAAGAAAGGGTTTTAAGAGTACTTGAAGGTCTCCTTGTGTTTTGTCATTTGTCTGTAAATTGAATAACTTGATCACATTACTTAATTTTTCATTTAAGGCTTCTTTAATCACTTATTACACAGATCTGAATGAATATTAAACCAAAGCAGTCAAGACATTGATTTAGTCGAAATAATCCCCAAATGTGTCCATGATTTATTCCTTGATCAAATTTTCCCACTTTACTTTGAATTCAGAAGGGAGTTCAAAGCCAGATGATGTGTTATTTTGTGACTCAGCATGTCTCAGAGAGTTCTACTTCAACAATTGAGATTCAAGTTCTTGCAATTTTCAGACTAGTTTGAGATTTTCTTCAAGTAAACGATCTGCTTGAAGCTGCTCATCGTCTTTTGTAGTGGAAGTGTTTGCACTATTAGGACTATAGAGTTAGATATCTGCCGAGATGCCTCGAGAATTTTAAGATGACATTCTATGATGGACAGGAAAATAAATTGCTAGACTATTATCTTTTTTATTAGTGAAATAAATTTATTTTCATATTAATCTTTCTTACTTATTGCATGCATGGGGTTTTGGGGTTTTGGGG